GATTGCAGGCGTTAGCCACTGCGCCTGGCCAAGTTCTCTCTTCTTCACCTGTGCCAGTCCCATCTGAGGTCATGCTCCCTGATGGAAAAGTAGGGGAGAAGGGAGCGGAGGGTTCTGCAGACCCCCACACCTGCTCGCTGGTGTGCAGAGGCCCTTCCCGCCCACCTTATCCATGGGCTGTTACCCCAGCTCAGGACTTTTTGAAGACCTCAGCTGATGTGTGGGCTCCTGAATTCCATCACCAACTCTGACAAGAAACCCAAGAGGACAGTTTTTGGAGGCCTTTCATAGATTTAGTTCAGAATGATAGCTGAATACTGTTGACTTAATTTAGCCCTAGAATCAATTCTGTCTAGAAAGGAGTCAGAAAGACTCAGGAAACCTTGTCCAGAGCCCTTACCCCAAACAGGCTGTTACCCCAATTAGGCTGTGCCTCCTGCCCACAGAAGGTAGCTTCTGTGACTGGGGCCCCCTACACTCTCCCCAATACAGGGCTCACATCTAGAACCTGAAATCCAGAGCTCTAGCCATAGCCTCCTGACCTAGCCTCAAGGCCCGGGCCAGACAGTGCTGCAGGGTGGGCTGAACCCCTGCCAACCAGAACCAGCTAAGAAAAAAGAGAAGAGAAGACCCAGCCCCCTGCCCAGAGAAGGGGGAGGGGGCTGATCTCCTTCCTGCTAGATCCTCAGGTTCTGGAATCCCCCACCCTCTCTGGTCAAGCCATTCCTCAGCCTCTCAGCTTGGCCCCTGGCTTTCCCTGTGAAGACAGACAGCCCCGCCCAGCCAGACATCTCTCTGACATCTGACCTGCAGAGGACCTAGGAAAAAGGATTAGGCATAGGTTTGGCCACACAAGGATAGCTACCCACCACCCCAGGACACCCCTCTGAGCACTTTTTCAGCAGGGATAAGCATGTCAGCCTGGTGTTGGGGTAGTATGCCTTTCCCCGATGGGAAGTGGGACCTGGCTATGGCCTTGGGGCTGCCCCAGTTCCAAGAGTGCTGGGATGATGTGAGGGTTGGTTCTTAGCCCAAGAGTTGCCTCAGTCCAATCCTGGTCTGGTTGGGCAGGTTGAGGCAGACACAGCTGAGAGAATAGGGAATGCTGAGATCCTGGAGCAGGGCTGGAAGGTGAGCCTCCCTGGGAGGGTGTGTTCCTGCTCTGGGGTGGTTAGAGGGAGTCGTCCCTCTAGAGCAGGCTCCTCCCTACAGTCCTAGTGTCCTCAGATGGGGGCTCCAGGGACCACAAAGCTCTGGCAGCCTCTAGCTGATTCCCAGTTTCCCAGCTGGAAAGGCTGTTACAGAATCCTAGGAATGTGCCTTGAGCTCAGAAAGAAAATTCCCAAAATAACTTCTATAAATACTGGAGGGCAGGGGTGGAGAAGGAGCACTAGGGCTGCTTCCCAGGGCAGGCCTCCTTCAAAAGAAGAAAGGAGCACTTGCACCCCTGGTCTTCCTGCTGCCCCTCCCCTCTAGGTAGCGCAGTCAGGCACTGAATTAACAGGGTATGACAACATCTAGTAACAGTTCTGGAAGGGAAAGTGAGACCCTCTTTCTCTACCCACATCACAGACTAGCTCCTGGCCCGACACTGAATCTCTGCACAGAACCTGACTCATCCACCCAGACGATGAATCCAGACCCCAGCAGGGCCCTAGACCCCTCAGACTTCCCACCCTTGTCACCCTAAAAGGCCGGGCTTGCTAAGCTCCATGAGGGCAGTATCCCTAGCTGGGAGTCCAGGGTCCCTAAGTGCCTCCAGTGTCCCTGGCTCTGTGTCCCACCTGAGTTCTAGTGGGCTGCTATCCTGTGAGGAATAGCAAAGCATGCAAGAGGGTGGGCCCTGTTCTTTCAGCCTGGAGACAGGCAGGGCAGGGATTACACACAAGAGCCCCACAGTCACCAAGCATGGTTGTGTGGACAGGAGAGACTGCCATCCTTGGGAGGCTTCCTACAAGAGCAGGGTCCCAGGCAGATGAGCTCTGGTCAGATACCCTACCCTTAGATCCAGGAAGAGAGGGAAGGAAGAGTAGATGGAGGCAGGAATTTCTGAGGACTTCCCCTTTAGCACTGCCCCCCCTGCCCCAAAAAAAACTATGTTAGAGGTCACAACCAGCCCAGGCACCCACTGGGAGGTACAGTGCCGAGATTGCTGTGAACAGCTTGCATTTTCATGTTTTCATCCTTGTGGGTGGACTGCACGGCTGTGGCATCCCCAGGGGAGGGTCAGGAACTGAGAGTCTCTTGGTGGGTCTGGTCTCCTCTGTCTTAAAGTGAGGGATGGGGAGATTCAACTGCGACATGGTGGATGGAAGTGACATGCGGGCTCTGTGTTCCCACATCTCCCTGGACTCTGTTCTCAGGGAGAGTAGGGGTGCCAGGAGGGTGTTGACAGGCCCCAGGTATAGTGCTGGCTGGGGGCAGGGTAGGTGAGACCTTGAGTCTTCCTGGGGCCAGGCCCTGCCCAGTTGTCAGGCAGCAAACAGCGCTGAGTTGCTACAAACATGAACTCTCTGGTGTCAGGGGCAGGTGGCAGCAGATCCTGTTACAGGCCCTAGGCCTCGGGGCTCCAGCCTGACCCAGGCCAGGTGTCTCCTTTCAGGCTCTAAGGTCAGCACCCCAGGGTGGGGGGACATGAGCCAACCCCAGCCTACAGTCTTCCCCCACAGAGCTCCCAGACTTCAGAAAAATGGGTGGTGCTACCCCCTCTCCACCCCCAAAGGGCCCTACCTGGCTTGGAGACACTGCCCTTGGCTTCCTGCCCATGTGCCCACGCTGCACTTTTTTCAAATTTATCATTGCTGAATCCTCACAATAGCCAGGTTTGCAGGTGAGGAAACCACAGCTCAGGGAAAGTCCGCCACTTGTCCATCGTCACAGCACTTGTCCAAGCTGGGATTCCAAGCTGCCAGGGCTTCTGGCCACCAAGCCTTGGGCTTTTTCCTCTACACAGACACACAGAGGAACCTACTGCAGACCTTCCAGACTGAGGATAACCACCCACCCCCTGCAGGCACACACAGTTCACCCTGCACACACATCTGGCCCCTTCCCAAACACCCACACACTCCTTAAGATCAAGGGTTTTCAAGTTCGTTTTTAGCCGTGGAGCTCTTATTTCATGTGGAAGCTCAGCACGGAAAACTCAGTGTGTTGCAGCTGCTCTGGTGTCTGTCTGTCTCTGTCTCTCTCTCTCTCTCTCTCTTGCTCTCATCCTTCCTATCTGTCCTCTGTTGTTCCCACATGGGCAGCACTCACAGGGCGCAAACCTTCCATTTTTGGTGCTTAATTTTGGTGTCTAGCAGCCTGTCGGCTGGCCTGCCTTCCCTCCTCCCTGTGGGCCCTGTTCCATTGCAAGCTGCTCAGGGTCCAGCCGTCGTCATTGGGCCTTGTGGGCAGAACATCTTGGCCCAGAGCCCTGCTGGCCCGCCTGGACGCAGCCTTTGGTCCTAGGCAGCCCTGAGTCAGCACCACTCCCATCTGGCCAGAATGGGGCCCTCCCTGAGGCCTCACGCTGCCCACCACCTCCTGGTCCTCTGCAGACCTCTTCGGAGCGGGGTTCCTTGGGCAGGGCTTTGGGAGGTGCTGACAGAGGTGCTGTGAGGATTGCCCCTCCTCCCATTCTCCCCTCCCCACCACAGGCTCTCCAGCCAGTGCCTCTGGGGAGGGAGAGGCTTCTCCTGGGCTTCTAGAGCACCTTCTTTCACTCTTGCCTAATTGGTTGTGTTCCAAGCTCTCTGAGGACTTATTGAAATCAGGCGTGTGCATCTTCCCTGGTGCGTCTCCATAGCAACCCAGGGCCTAACTCTGGGGAGCTCGGTGAGGAGAAAAATGTTCCAGCTAAAAATGTACATGGCCATCAGTGGGCGGGCACCGGAGAGGGGGCTTCAGACACATAGAAGGCAGCTCCCCGCCCCCTCGCTGTCCCCCGCCTGTCCAGGAAGTCAGTGGTGGGGCTCTACCTCCTACCTCCTGTCTTTGAATAAGAGAAGGAGCCCCCCCCCCCATGCTGCCATCCTGTGCTGCCTCTGAGGGCCTGAACAGAGATCTGTGGGATGCTGCAAAGCAACCTTTCTGAAACCTGAGGCTGAAGAGGACCCCAGCTCCCTTCCTCTGCTCACTACCCTGTCCCCCTGCCCCATTTCAGTGTGGGTGGAAGAGGCTATGGAGGGGACAAGGGGGGCAGTTTCACTTCCTAGCCCCCTTTGGATGACAATTCTGTCACTTCCCCTATCTCTCTGGCAACAGAGTTGTTTGAGTCAAACAACAGGCTTCCTTTCGTCTCTGAGCTGATCCAGCCTATTCAGCCAGCACTGCCCTCCAACTCATTCTCAGCCACCTGACTCTCCTCCTTGACCCTCAACTCCCAGTCTGAGGGCTCAGGTCCCAAGACTCAGATGTCCCCTGGAAGATTGGCTGCTTGACACCGGAAAAGAGCTGCCCCTCCCACCCACGAGCTTCGGCTGCACCACCTCTGGTGGCAGTGAGGAAGCCCTGTGCTGTGTTCTCCTCAGTCTCACAGTGCCTGGGGTGAGGGGCAGCTCCATGGGACAGGCTGCAAGGACTGAGAACAGTGCCATTTATAGAGAGCTCGCTGCTGCCAGGCACTGTTCTCTGTGCTTTACATATCCTGACTCCTTTCACCTTCACAACAGCCCCCAGGTAGATACTGTAATTCCACCATTTACAGATGAGGAAACTGAGGACCAGAGAGTTTTGACCTGGCCAAGATCCCTGATGGGGAGACTCAAAGCCAGATCTGGTAACTTGAAAGTCCAGTCCATCCCTCGGGGCCAAGAGGAACAGGGATCCTCTGGCAGATGGCCCGGGCATCTGGGCTCAGCCAGTGACAGGTAGGATGTGCATGGGTAAAGGGCACAGTTACCCAGCAGTGCCCAAGCCAGACACAGTGGCCCATGGCTGGTGGCTGCTGAGTGAACTGCCCTCAGCTCTCTGCCCTGGGACGCCCTCAGTAACCCTGCCCTGTGCTTGGTCTGCAGGGTCTGATGCTGAGTCGGCTGGGCCACAAGAGCCTGGCCCAGAAGGTGCTTCGGGACGCTGTGGAGCGGCAGAGCACCTGCCATGAGGCGTGGCAGGGCCTGGGCGAGGTGCTACAGGCCCAGGGCCAGAACGAGGCTGCCGTGGACTGCTTCCTGACTGCGCTGGAGCTGGAGGCCAGCAGCCCTGTGCTGCCCTTCTCCATCATCCCCAGAGAGCTCTGACTGGCACTGTAGCAGCAGGAGGGAGGGGGCTGTCTGTGGGGGCCAGCAGGTGCAGGCAGGATCGGGGAGGACAGTGGCATCCGGTTGTAGGACCTAATGGAAATACAGCTCTAGTGAACACTTCTGTAGGCTACAGCCCTACTTCTCCTGGCTGGGCCAAGAGGGTCTTCCAGATTGCTTCCCAGGTGCCTTGGAGACATGCTGGCTTTAACCTTATATGCCTGGCAGAGTTGTGATCAGACTGGCTCCCTGAGAACTCAGACAAGGGAGCCACATTGCTGAACTTCATCCCCACCCAAGCCTCTGCTCCAGGTCTCACTCCCCAGTCTCTGGATAGCACAGACTTCTGGGCCACTCTCCAGGTCTCCTCCAGGGCAGTCATAACTGAAGAAACTGCTGACAAAGGGGAAAAAGATGGGATCTCTGTGTTGCCCTCTCAGACTTTGAGTCAGTGAGTGAGTCCAGCATTGCCCCACTTTGACTACTAAGGCCTGCTGACCCTACTGTGTTCTTCCCTTCTGTTCCCAAGTGCCTTCAGGACCTCTGGTGTCAGGCTTGGGTCACTGAACACTGGCCCTGACTCACTCTTCCATTTCCACCACCCCCATCTCCCTGGAAACATGCCCCACCCCAAGTAGCCTCCTAGGCCTTTAGCTGAGGGCCCCAGGATACAAAACATGGTCACTGGACCCAGCCCTTCTTAATGCCCTGTGTGGAAGTATAGTTCCTTTAAGCCATACCCTACAATTCAGGTCCCTCCAGGGCTGGTAGCATGAAGGTGGGAAATTCCTAGGAAGGTCCCTGATACATCTCATCACCCATAGCATGTTAGTCACTTTGGGCTTTCTTGGGCAGCCTGAGTCCCACCCTGGCCATTTGGGTCCCCCTGCCTAGACCCCTGTGCAGGCTGTGGTTGGAGACCTGAGGGGTACATGGAGCTCAGCCCCTTCTCTCTGTGGCTGAGCAGGCCTCTGTGCCTGTGACAGGCCCTGGCTGCAGGAGTCCGGTGATAGCTAAGCAGATGTTTTCTCTGCCTGCTCCTCCCGGCCCTGCTGTGTGATGCTCTTAAAACTCTGACTCCCCAAGAGTCAGTCCCCCCAAGCCCTGCCAAGGAAATCCTTTTGTATCTGCACTTTGGGTTTTAGTTTTGATGTTTTATCAGGTACATGTGGACAGGTTGGGTGAGGGCTACCCTGGTTGGTCGCAGCCCCATCTCTTTAGAAGGAATAGCTGTGTGGTGCCCCCCTTTGCTGCACCACACTGGCTCAGCACTGCACGTCCCAAGGTACTTCCCAGGAGAGCCAGTGCCTTCTGCCTTCCTGAGCCAGGCCCAGGGCGCCACAGGGGATGCTGGATCCTTTACCTCTTTTTTTGTTGAAGTATCTTGCTATACATGTATGTGTATATATAAATATATATATTATATATAATAGAGATCTATTTTTGTTCTGGAATTCTGTTAGAAAAAAAGTAAAGAAAAAGCAAATGCTATTGATATATCTTGGAGTACCCAAAGATGTTGGAAGTCAAGTCTTGGTAAGAGGAAAAATGTACCAAATACATTTCAACTTTTAAGCATTCCCTCATTGGAAGCCACAGAGGGCCTGGCCAAGTTGCTGACAGTGACTTTGAAAATTTAATAAAGAGACCCTTGAAGGGGAAGCAGTTCGTCTGAAGTAGCATGTTCATTCATTGGGCACACAGCCCAGGAACAGGCCTTGAGCCGGCCCTGGAGAGAAGCGAGTATTGTATGAGATAGGCCAGGGAAGTCTCTGGGGCCAAGGCCTGGGATTGGATGGGAGTGTGGAGGAGGAAGGAAGGGAGGATCCCCTGGAAAGATCTGGATTTGAGCTGGTGAGAGTATCTCCTGGTGAGGTTGGGGCTAAAGCCTAGGGGCGAGGGAGGAGGAGAGGCAGAGGGGTCCATCCAGGTGGGGTTGATTCTGGCTTCCAAACTACCCTTCAGGTGAGCCTGAACCCCCTGCCCCCAACTGGGACACAGCCAGGAAAGGCCAGGACTGCACTGGCCATCTGAACCCTCAGGCTTTGCTCCAGGAGAGGGTGTGGGGGAGGATCCACCCCTCTGCAGTCCATAGCAGTGTACTCCTAATAGATCAGTTATACCAGGTACCAGGATACTGTGGATGTTATTATTAAAGCATGCATTGCACCAATTCTAACAAATGATGCAAATTTATATAACTCTTCTTTATGTAACCCAAGGGGTCTCCTGCTGTAGGCTGCAGCCACCCCACTTTGAAGACAACTGCCCTGAGACTCCTCTCAAACTCAGGACTGATGTAGATCTTTCCCGACTCACTTCCTACCCTCTGTGCCTGCCAGTGGCCTGGCCACCCCCATGCCCTCCCTCTGCCCTACTCCTGGGCTAGGCACTGCTGTCCCTGAGAGGAATGGCTTTGCTTGGAGCCTTTGGATACCCAGCTTCTCTTTTGCCAGGACCTTTTCTTAAGGTAACACATAAATGAACTTTAGTGATTGAACACCTAGTGTCAAATTACTTGTTGCACACAAACCCTCAATGGACAGCAAGGAAACCAGCCCCCTCATCGGAACCTGTCATGCCAGAATGAGGGTGAGAGTCTGGGGACAGACTTGGGGCTGCCTGTTGCCCCCATAGACCACCAACCCACCCACCACTTTCCAGGACACAGGTCCCACTTGTGCACATCAGTATTAATGATGTTTATCTGCAGGCACAAATACGAATGGAATTTTAGCCCCTACCACCCAGACTCCCTTCTGGTACCAAAGTGCTCATTGTTGCTTTTGCACCCCCCCACCCCCGGCACTCAGATGTCGTCACTGTGCAAATAGTCCTTGCCCTTGGAAAGCCTCTAGCTAAACAAACCTGGCCATGTGCCCAACCCATGCCGCCAGCTCTTGATGACAACCCACGGCCAGGAGGTCACATACCTACATGACCTATGGGACCAGCCCATATGGTGCTGATCTGAAGAATCCTGGGAGTCTGGAGGTCCTGACTGGAACTGTCCTTAGAATTTTCATCAGGATTTTTCAGTTGCAAAGAACAGAGACTCATTGAAGATAAGAGACCAGGGGGAGTTCCCTGTACTGCAGGGCACAGGGCCGGGCCAAAGCAGCCACACAACCATGTCAGGGGCAGTGCAGCGACACCACAGTCACCAGCCTAAGCTGGAAGATGCAATTTCACCACTGGCTATGTGGCCTTGAGTAAGTTGCTTAACCTCTCTGTGCCTATTTCCTCACCTGTAAAGCAAGGATAATAGTAGCATAATGACACCTTTGTAGATTATGTTGATGAAGTGAGAAAAACATGTCAAGCGCCTAGAACAGTGCCTAGCCCAGCTCGATACATGTGAGCAGCTGTCTCTGGTTTCTGCCTGCTCCCTGCTCCTCTCCCTGCTAAGTGACTTTGCTTACCCAGGGCATTGCTCCCCCAAGACGGTGTTCAACACTAGCCTAAACCCCGACCTGATCTGCCTCCTGCAGTGCTGTGGCTACTCCTCTCTGAGCAGCTGAGTCTTCAACAAGAGGATCTGATTGGTCCCACTCATTTTAGGGTCACCCAGCAGCCCATGGACCACCTTCCCTTGGGTGGTGCCTTCTGATCCAATCAACTTGACCAGAAGGCATGGGCCTCTCAGGACACAAAGTATGGCTGCTTGGGTAGCTGAAGTTCTGGAGGGGTAATGCCCTGGCCCGTTCCAATACCTTCATCAGCCCCACTCTGTACCTTGCCCTCTGGGCATTCTGGAGGGGGCACAAAATAGAACACACACACCCACTGAACACCCTTCCTTTCTCCTTCACTATCATCATCACCTATGTTGCATCCAGAGGGGCTCCTGGCCTAGCTGTCATCTTGGAATGAAAACGACAGTGATGATACTAACACAGCCCCACACTGAACTGTGCATTGGATGCTTCGTTATCAGTGAACTCTTCCTCTAATCCAGTGGTTCTCAACCTTCCTAAAGCTGCGATGGATTTTCATTGTTACAAAGGGGTCGCGACCCACAGGTTGAGAACTGCTGCTCTAATCAATTCCTTGGTAGTCACCAAGCTTGGGAGGTAGGTTTTGTTCCCAAAGTGAAGAGATCACGATGCCTCTACTCAGGACTACTTGGTTTGTGGTAGACTGGGAACACAGGACCTAGCCCACAGGGCTGGTGCTCTGCCCACTGCTGCCGTTTGAGACACTGCATGGTGCGCCCTCACCACTATTGCCACAGCAGAAGACCCCTCTGGGATCTGCAGAAACTCACATCGCCAAGGTCCTCTATGGGAGCTCCCTGGGGGAGAACGCTGGGGCTCCAGAGGCCTCTTGAGTGCCCAGAGGCCCCCTCCTGCCCCAAGCTTCACCTGCTGTCTAGAGGGAAAAGGAATGGACAGCACGCGGTGTTGCTCGCCACCCCAGCCCCTCTGCAGCTGGCTGGGACTGCTTAAGAGAGGTCACATGAAGGCTGGGCATCCCCCAAACAGGGTGTTCAGAAGATGCCAGACAGCATCAACACGTCCCCCACGGGAGTTGTGCATTGAGTCATGGGACTCCACGGTCCTGACCACCAGCTGGCAGGACTGTGGCTGGGTTCCAGAACCAAAATGTGTCTTCCATGGGCTGGCCCAAGGCTCAGAGGTGTCCCAATGCCCCCACACGGGCAGCCCACAGGTGGGGTGGGCGTCATAGTTCTCTTATCCTCACTCACTCTCTCGGTTTCACTCTTAACTGTCTCTTCAGAATGTGGCAAGAAGTTAAGTCACTGTGGACTTATTTAAAAACACGTGTGTATATATTTTTAAACATTTGAGAATAGGTTGCATAAATCCTGCCCCTGTACCCCTTAATACCTCTGTGTATTTTTACCAAGGACAAAGGTCATCCCCTTCCTCAACCAAAGCACAAGTAACAAATGAGGAAATGTAACACTGCTACCATACACTCACTCTAGAGCCCACATTCTGGGGTGGGCCAACCTCCAGCCAGGATGACACACTTCACCTGTTATCTGCCCTGGAACAGCTCCTCCCTCTCCTTGCCTTTCATGCCATTGACGTTGCCCAGGCCACAGAGAACCTGGCCTCAGGGCAGGAGTGGAGTCTGAAAAACAGCAGAAACCTCCGGGCAGAGGGAAAAATGGACAATGGTTGGTAGGACCTGGAAGATGAAAGCAAAAACAAAGAGCAGGTTAATCTCTGTAAAGCCAGAGCTCTGGAATCAAAAGAAATGGCTGCCCGCTTTTAAGGTACAAAAAGATGAAGGACGTGCTGGAGCTCTGTTATGTCTGAGTGACCCTTCCAACCCCTGCAGCCGGACTGTGAGGTCAGGATTCCCAGCTGCTGTTTCCTCTATCCTTACAATGACCCCCATGAAGACGTGAGGCCCCAGCGTGTTTCTGACAGCCCTGTCTGTCCCCAGAGAGACAGAGTCTCACTTTATTGCCCTCGATAGAGTGCCGTAGCTTCACACAGCTCACAGCAACCTCCAACTCCTGGGCTTAGGCAATATTCTTACCTCACCCTCCAGAGTAGCTGGGACTACAGGTGCCCACCACAACACCTGGCTATTTTATTATTGCAGTTTGGCTGGGGCCAGGTTCGAACCCACCACCCTCAGTACATGGGGCTGGCGCCCTACCCACTGAGCCACAGGTGCCACCCACTTTGTAATCTCTTGACTCACTTCAGCTCAGGCCTAGAAGGAAGAGGCCATTACAAGCTCCGTTGCTTCTGTCTATGCCAGGCTTGAAGCCATCTCAGGAGCCCAGAGCTCAATCCCCTTACCCCAAGCAAGGCCCAAGGCTCAGTGGCTTCAGTGGTGGCGTCACACACTCCACCCAGAAAACATCCTGCAGGGACTTTACATAGCTTGGCCTGGTACAAGCTGGGCTGAGCCCAGAGAGACTTCTGGAGGCCGTGCTAGGCTGGGGTCAGGCACTTTCCTCCATGCAGAGAGCTACTTTCTGAGCTGGGAGCTATGCCCTCCTTAGTCTGTAATCCTGTTTTCCTTCCTCTTCTTCTTCCTCCTGCAAGTTGATCAGGTCTCCTGGGGCCTCAAAGAGCCATGCCCTCCCATGTCCACAGCCAGCAAGACTTCTTTCCAGAATTCCTACTGGGGCTCACTCCTTGCCCTTCTTTATCCTTCAAGACTCTTCAAGTCCTTCCCATGAGTTCTAGAAGCCCTCCCCTATCTTTTTTCCACCAACCACCATATGGAGCCCTTACATTTTGTCAGAACACCCAGGCCAGTTCAGGTCCCATGGGTCCTGCTTCCTGAATCAGACCCCTACATCCAACAGACCTGCACTCAGCCACACCTGTGTGTGCCCCAGTGACACCCCAGCTGGGCCACATGGTGGCCATCCTGCTGCCAGGGTTTGGGGTGCAAATGTGGAGTGAGGCCACCTTGTCCCCACCCACAGGCTGACCTCTCTCCAGCCCGATAGACTTGCCTGAGCCACGTGCCATTGCCCTGGTAGTGTCTGGGAGGGGAATGTGCAGAGGCCATGGCCCTCCTGAGTCTATTATGGCTGCTCAAAGGGCCTGCAATCAATCCCAAACCCATCATATTTTCTTAATAAAGTTACACATACATTTAATCCTACTCTATAAATTAAATTACTTTAGAAATATGACACTATTGAGGTCTTCATCAAAACACTGGAACACATGGGCCA